TCGCTCGTGGCGCAGTGGTTTGAGCGTTTGCTCTAGAGTCGCGGAGTAAGGAGTTAATCTTTACGTCGCGGATTCGACTCCCTCTGCGGGACTTGGAGACCGGTCCTTTGCATGAGACCGTATAAACCGAGATCCCGTGTAGCAGTAGATGCTGGCACGAAAGAGATCCCTCACTGCTCAATGGCCTTGAGTGTCGAGTATAGGTCTGAATTTGCAGCCCTCCACCGGCAAGTGGTGGCGTTTCCATATGAGTGAAAAATCTCGAGAAGGACGTTAAACAACACACAAACAAACAAACTATTCCACTACGGGACGTGGAGACTAGTTCTTTGGATGAGACCGTATAAACCGAGGTCTCGTGTAGCAGTAGGTGCTGGGATGAAAAAGATCCCTCACTGCTCAATTGCCTTGAGTGTCAAATTTACAGCCCTCCACCGGCAAGTGGTGGCGTTTCCATATGAGTGAAAAATCTCGACGGGGACGTTAACACACAAACAAACAAACAATTTCACTACAGAACGTGGAGTATGGTCCTTCCGATGAGGCCGTATAAACCGAGGTCCCGTGTAGCAGTAGGTGCCGGCATGAAAAAAACTCCCCCACTGCTCAGTGGCCTTGAGTGTGGAGTATAGGTCTGAATTTGCAGCCATCCACTGGCAAATGCTGGCAGCTCAAGGGACGTTAAACAACAAACAGACAATCAAACAAACATTTTTGTGTCGCCTGCAAAGCAGAGCAGCACTTAGCGATCAATTTACCTGGCGTCTGTCTTGCTGTCCGTCGGTCTGTCACACGTTATATCTCGAGAAATGTAAGAGGTATGGATTTGATAATTTGCACATATAGCTTGACACTATGGCTTTTGTATTTTTCCATGGCTTCCGACCTAGATATCCTTGAACTTGACCTTTGACCTACTTTTCAAAATAACCAATAATGGCGATATACAACTTCTTTTTGATATTTATGAGGTAAGTCTATGCTATTTAGAATGTGCACTGTTTGTCATAAAACATTTTGAAAAATACCAGCATTACAGTCCACTTGACCTTGACCTTTGACCTATTTTGTAAAATACACTGCGGAGGGTTAAATTTAACTTATGTCTTTTGAAATTACAGAGGCAGGGTTTGATAATTAACAGTTATACATGTTTATGAGCTCATGACAATGTATTTTGACACTGTATGAAATAAAGAAACCACAAAAACTGAAATTTAAGTACTATGAAAATACAACGGGATCGGTATTCCAAAATGGATGGTGTAGACTGACAATTGCTGATATGATAGACTGAAGCCTCTTTCGAAGGATTGTTGAAATCACGTACCTAAATAATTTATATATAATTATTTATAATAAATTTATTCAAATTTCATTAATATCCATTTTAGCTTTCAGGGGTTAAGGATTTGCGTTTCTATTTGATTGTTAGATTCTATCGCAATCTTACTATCCCTGGATTTTTTTCCTTTTTTTGCATGAACTATATTCAATGCCGTAGCAAATAAATAGCTGATAAATATTAGACTTAGTTGCATCTTTAATGAAGCTAAAAGCAGGCGACACATGCGTTCCTGGGAACACTCTAGTTCTGTAAGAAATCGGCAAAGATAATTAAGCAGAGATTTCTAATGAATAAAATGGTTTTTTTAACCTTTTTATAACGCTGACTATATATACATGTATGGTCTGCGTTATAAAACATGATGTGATAGGGTGACGTAATGCACCTTGTACACGTATTCAAAGACGCCGACGTTTTTCAATATCTAAATTGGACATAAAACATATTTACAATAAAATTTGAAGCCAGCGAGTTAAAAGTAATAAATTACAACTATATGGAAACGAAATGAAAAAAAAAAAAAACCATGTGTAAACTTGTCAAGTTGGAAACACTCAGAATGGGTATTGTTGGTATCATACAGACTGTGTCATGGCCTTGACTCAAGTTCAAGGTCACTAAGAACAAGATGCTTTTACTGGATGTGTGGTCTGAAGGAACATGTGTTAACTTGTCAAGTCGGTAACACAGATAGGTTTGCGTCATAACCAGAGTTTGTCATGGCTTGACGCAAGATCATCTGGACAAGTTCAAGGTCACGAAATAGAAAGTGTACATTATTTTATTGTCTTTCTACTGGCGAAGCATTGCAAGTTGATAGTCCCTTAAAAGATTATTTATCATCTTAGAATATGGCATGACCTTGACTCAAGGTCACTGCTCCAAAGGAAGACCTATTCGTTGCCCTGCAACGAGCTCGGCTCTAGTTTGTTATATAATTTAATTGTTAGTTGGTACCGATCGTCTATATTTAGTGAAACATCCAAATATGAAACTGATAAGGCAGACTATGTGATGTCTTCTATTTTAAGTCGTTGATAAACATAAATCTCAATGTAGAGCTGAAGGCCACCCCAATTGTTTTCTTCTTCTCATGTAGAAGTTTTGATCAAATTCTGCTTCAAAGGTATAAGTACAAAAACAAGATCGCTTTGTGATCGGGATCCTTGTTTGCCACGCCGCGTAAAACCTTAGACGGAAATAACTGTTTCTTCGCCAAGCGACCAGTGTAAAGACGAATAATGACCCCCATAGAATAATGACCGGGGGTCATTCCGGCATAAGAAGTTAAAAACACGGATCTCCCAGAAGAGGCCTTAAAGCCTTAAATAAAGAAGCCCCGTGTCACAATAGGTATGGGCACGAAAAAAGAACCTTCACTGCTCAATGGTCCTCAGCTTCGAGTATAGGTCTGTACCGGCATACGGTGACGTTAAACTACATGCAATCCATCAATCAATTTCATTATAACAAAGACCACACCCTTTTTTAATAAAATGGAAAAAACAAGAATAGGGCCCAAAAAGGGGTTGAAGGTGTTGCATAGGAATGTATAGGAAAAAAAGATATTTAGCAATCCCTCCTAAGACACATTGGACATAAAAAAGAATTTTTGTGAAAACTTCTTGACATGTACGTAAATTCTGTATTGATCGTGCTATGGTCATCAGAGGTAGGGTAAGACCACTTTAGAAGATAAGTTTTACTTGGGGATATAAAGGGAAAAAACCTTCCAAATTATTTTTCTCAACACAAGTAGAACCATGCTTAGTAAAATTAAAATACAAGCATCCTTAGATAATGAAGATTAAAATTTGTTGGAGACAATGTGGAATGAGGCAAGATAATCTTCCCAAGAACCATAATACATGTACAATAATTAATTCGCTAACATTATAAGTTGTGCTGATTTTTTAAAAAAGTTATGGACACTATAACTGGTATTGGTCTGTAATTGGGGATTAAATTTAACATAATTCATAGATACAGGGGAACATTCCTCTATTTAAAAGCAAGGCCATGTATGTCATATTGGTTTTAAAGCATCCATATGTTTTGTGGATTCAGGAATCCCTTATAATGGCCACAAAATGGATATTAATTTTTCACATTTAAAAAAAAAGAGGAGGGAAAAAAATAAATATTCTGAAGAACATTCTGCTCTATCTTTCTTGATACAGTATCCTGGAATTTGTACACAATTTTCTATCACATCACGTATTTTCTCGGGGTAAAGTTTTCTTTGTTTGAGGGAAAAAATATTGGTTCATTGGGATATGATTTCATGGTTGAAAAAATGAATATTACACTGAAGTTTGAAATAGCTTTTTCAAACATTTCTTGAATACATGGGTCTATCCATGCCACGGAAATAAAGAAAAAATAAACACAAAGAAAATAAGTGGTTTTCACAGTTTGGGGATTTATTCAATGATTTATTTATTGAACAAAAAGAAAAAAAAAGAGAAAATTTGTTAGTAACGTTTTATTTTTCATATGATTTTAAAATACTCAAAATAATTTTCTGAAAATTGTGTTTACAATGACAGCAGCATTGATAGAAGAAATAAACATTTCTCAGTCAGAGTTTTTGAAAATATTAACAAGAGCATAAATAAGAGAATATGTGAAAGAATACATGTATATACAATACTTGAATTCTTGTTTCCAGTTTTTCGTATTAATTTTTAAGCAGCAAAAAAAAAAAAAAAAAAAAAAAAAAAAAATGTCAAGTACAAAATTTGTTTGTTCCTAGACTGTAGATTCTTTTTTTTTATTTTGTAATTATTAGTGCAAGTATAGATATTTCTCTTAGATATAAAACATTGAACACCACTCATTCAATTAAAATGCAGAAAGCAGAAAGAAATAAAGTACTACAGATTGAAATCTTAAAAAGTGAAAAAAAAAATTAAGTTATACAAGTTTGTTAGAGAAATATATAAAAGATTATAATATCTTGAAACATCCATTTGTTTATTTTTTCCAATTTCTATAACTAAATATTTTGAAATAAAATAATTAATGAAAAAGAATATCGTAAAGATATTTAAATATGTATCACAAAAACATCATTTACAATTGATGAATAAAATAAAAGTGTCTAGCGAGCACAATTCCGCCATATAAGCAAGATTAGGAAAACTTGTACTGCAATTAAATGTCATATCTTACAAACAAAATGAAATTTCAACGTAGGTATCTGTAAAGTAAAATGAAAACCAAACTTCAGAGATGATATAAATATCTACCTCTAAACTTTTTTTTCAGAGTCGTTTTAAAGTAAATTTCTTCTTAAACTGATCAAAGTTTATTTGGAAATAATCCAACATTTCCTTTGACGTGCGACTTATTTTTTGCAAATCATGGAAATCATGAGATTTTATCATATCATTATGGAGTGTTTTACATTTTTATGCATGAAAATATAGAATAGGACAAAGAATCGCAAACACGATTCAACATGTGTATAATCAAATGACAATTTTCTCAATCGAACCTTTATAAACACATTCTTTAAGACATCTCTTGGTAAATTAAAATAATTTGTAATTAAATTAAGGACAGATGATATAAACAAACTTTTATCAAAAACTTGAAAATTATAACTAAATTCATATTTATGTAAGTAAACTGAATAAATTTAACCGCATAGTTTTTAATTTATCATTCAAAGTTTCACAATTATGGGATTTAAAGTGAAAAAACAAATGTATAGGGTAATAAGGAAGGTTGCAGAAGAGTTGAATTTTGAACATCTAAGAAAGTTTGCAGGTTTTTAATAATTTAAAAATCTATTATTTGCATCATTTAAATTTTAAATAGGTTAAAAATATATATACCTATCCAGACATCCATATTTTTTGTTTGTATCTTCTGTCCTTAAAGACATACTAGAAATTAACTTTCTTATCTCCTACAATGAAGATTTACACTTGCTGTTTTTTAAAAATATTTCTTCAAATGGGGAACTAATAAGAAATATGATTGTTAAAAACACTCATGAAAATGTTAAATGTTTCAAGAGACACTACAGTCATAAAACACCTAATATTTCAAAGAAGAAATTTCATATTATTTTAATTTACCTGACAGGTGAACATACTCATAATTTTCTCAAAAAATGGCTTAGCCAAGCATGTTTTTGTTTACTGATCTGATCATTTTTCTGCTAAGAGAGGCAAACGTTTAAGCAGAGATATTTGAGTTTTGGACAGGATTACTTGTGTTATTTATCCTCATACAATACACAGAAGAAACCCAAGTAAACCCATCATTTTCAGTAGAAAATGTTGGATTCCTGATACATAAGGAAGCTTTATTTTTTTTATATATATATATTTTATTTAAAATATAATATATTGAGTAAAGGGTTTCAAAATAAAAAGGCAAATAAAGTAGATATCTGATACCAACCTCTTAAAATGAAAAACATAAACAATTGTTTTATGACGTTTATACGTAAAGTTGAGACTGATACCAATTTAGTTTTTCTTAAAAACTTAAAAAAAAACATTGTTAATAGTTCAGTATTAGGATTCATGGATGTCAAAATTGTTTGCATCTCGCAGAAAGTGCATTCTTCTACGTAATATTTCTATAGGTTTAGAACAAATTCTACAAATTATAGATAAAAATAGCATATTTTTAGAGCATAAAAAGTCATCCATCACTATATCATTTACGTACATGAAAAACAAAATGTGCATTTTCAATTATGCACAATATCCCTCAAACTCTTCGACAGTACAGCTATGATAACAGCACTCACACACGATGTTTGTGTCGCCATTTCTCTTCACATAAGGAAAATGGCTTGCCCTCTTTATGGCGTGAGTTGCATGCAAGTCGCCTGAGAGAAATGCGAGTGCTTTCTCTTTGTTCGATAAAAACTTTTTGATGACTGACTTCCATGGTGAACGTCTTGAGTTTAAGGATGGATGATGGGGTTTTATTATACCAAGATGACGTAGTTTTTCTAATGGCAACAAGTTTTCGGATGTCGTAAAATTTTGTTTTATCATGTCTGTAATATACAAAAAAGCAGAATGAGAAATTTGATAAAATAAAGAGAGTGGCATAATGCAAGCTTTAGGTCATTGATATCAAATATCTATTCATGAAAGAATTTGAAAACATTATTAATAAGTCATTACTAAAAATGTCACGTTATCTTATACTTACTCCTACGAACAATTTTGTCTTTTCTTTCCCGGGTACTTTTATTATTGCAGACGATTTCGAGAATGTCGGCTAATTTGTCTCCGCATGCGCCTTGTGGATGTACGCCTCTGCGATAGGTTTCATATGTACAGACTTTGTCATACTGGCACAGCGAAGGACTCAAGAAGTACAGAAAGGATAGAAAGATAGTGGACCACAGGTGGCCGCCTTTAAGCATTCTCTATGGGCGGATCCAGAAAGAGTTCGAGCTTGAGGTGGAGACCTATAGATTGCAATCAAAACTAAACATTTAAAAAAGCACTTTCGAAAACTTTTAAATTCTTACAAGAGATGAATTTCTAGTTGTATTTTTCTTATAGATTAAAAGAAAATGAAGAGGGAAAAACAAGCTAAGACAAGAAAATAAACAAAAATCAACAAATACAAATAAAAAAAAATACCAAAACAAATAAGAGAAAAAAAAAAAACAAAACAAAACAAACAACCAACCAAACAAAAAAAAAAAAAAAAAAAAAAAAAACAACAACAACAACAACAACAACAACAACAAAAAACAAAAAAAAAAAAAAAACAAACAAACAAACAAACAAAAAACAAAACTTCGTTAAATGGCTTACACACTATTTCTGCATGGTTACCATAATACATCTCTGGACAGGTCACATACATACATGTATATAGAGATATTGTAAAATCACAGAAGAATTCTTTACTTGAGGTTAATATTGATTTAATTAAATTACTATTTAATATCGAAAAAAGAATTTAAAAAGATAATATTTAATATCAAAGTATTCAGATATATTCATTAAATTGATAATGCTTCTGGATGGTATAAAAAAAGTGGTCCTAAATTATAATTAGTTGATCATCAACCTGCTGTCACAAACAAATTAGACCTCAAAAGCTTTCTGAAGCTTGGTTCGAACGACTTTCTACAATGAATTTTGCAAAGTACAGATCCTGTTATACACATGGTACAGACCTCTAAATGTTGTTTTTACAATATATATGAGTTAAAATCTTGTATCTTATATCTTGTATGAGCCGTCTCACGCAAAAGGGCCCTTAAGGTAGAAATTATCAAAAATTACTATTTAGTGGATTATGATAGATTACAGTGTAAAATAACCAAATTTTAAAGTTTGATTTAAATATTCATAATAATAACTTAAGCTACATGCAATAAATATTAAATTATAAATAATACATAATATATTACTTTATAGTTATTTTAAATCAGCAACAAACGTGTCCATCTTTGAGGCTAAAGTCTTATTTTGAAAAACAATGTTTCTGGGTTATTATGTCCTGAAAATTTTGCTCGCTGAAAGAAACAAAAAAAAAAGGAATATGAGGGAGTTTCGAATGTTAAATAAGCGAATTATTTATAAACATGTACTAGTATGTAAGTAAACTAGTCTTTCAGTGCGCGTAAATTTGTGCATGAAAATAATTATGGCATATACTATATAAAGTATTAAATCGAATGAAAAAATTGGAATTATATAATTTTTTATTTATATCTAACGAATCATTAAAATGAATAGCTTTTAAATTTCTAGGTAGCCGGTGACGGTAGCCTAGTGGCAGGGCGTTCGCTTTGGGATCGGGAGGCTAGGGTTCAATTTTCGTTCGCCGCGTCAAACCAAAGAAGTAAACATAGGTAGTGATTGTTCCTTCCCCAAGCGCCCGGCACTAGAAGTGAAAGCCACGGGTCTCTTGGATGAGACCAGAAAAACCGAGGTTCCATGTCACGGTAGGCATTGGCATGAAAAAGAAACCTCACTGCTCAATTGCCCTGAGTGCCGAGTATAGGACTAAACTTGAAGCCATTCACCGGTATATAGTGATGTCCCAAAATACATGAAAAATTCTCGAATGGATGTAAAACAAGATACAATTAATCAATTTCTAAGTTCTTTTTTGAAATTAAAATCTGCTCGATCTATTTAGTATTTGTCAATCTAATATTAGTTATATAAGTAAGTTAACATTTGCAGAGTGTAAATGGACACAAAATTCAGTAATTTTGAAATATTAAATATTTATATTATTTCTTTGATTTAAAAATAAAGTTCAAATGCATATTTTAAATGATCAACTTAACAAAATCTTCTTACTTTCCTTGTAGTTAAATGAAATTAAAAAAGTGAAATAACTCAAGTTTAATAATACTACAGTAATCTTTTTTGTGCCAAAAACAAACAAACAAACAAACAAACAAAAAAGCAAAGATGTATTCATTTCATTTCTCGCGTACGTTTGAAACACCTACCTAAGCGTTGATCCCTCGGAGTAGAAGCTACCTATCCCCTGGTGACTGACAAGAAAACAACAGCATTAAGTTGTCTTTATATATGAAAACAACAAGTGCACAAAATATAATTAAAATACTCTTAATTGTAGCATTGAAATCTTACAAATTTTTCACAATCTCCGGCGAAAAATCCAATCTTGAAATGGCAACACTTCATTCATATGAATCCGCAATATGAAAGTTGTATTATACCGGAAACTATGATGTCATCAACGATCAAATTCTTTACATAATAAACACCAATGATGTCAAATAAACCGGAATTTTTCTCCCCTCTGTCAACATTTTTTTGGTTTAAGGTTTGTTTTCTTGATTAATGAGGTTCTTTTTCCTATGTCTTCCGCGTCACAATGGCGACAAAAAAGACAGACAAAATGTAGCCTGTCTTTTTCTGTAGCCTTGAGTTGAACTGTCATTGACCATGGCTTATTACGAACAAAATAACAAAAAGAACCAATCCTGGATATCTGTCTCTCTAGTTGGTCTCAATACTATTAATTGTTTGGGGTGAGGAAAGTGCCTTAAATTCAATCTTATAAAAGAAGTCCAATGTGGACGACAACTAACCAAAATAGAATTAGTTGATTTCTTTTAGAGGTCTGCAAATATACATAGTATTAGCTGTTTGAGTAATACTACAGTTATATTTTTCAAAAGTATAAGAAAATAAAACGTTAAAGGTTTACAAAAATGTTCACAATACAATCTACGTATTTGATGGTTTTTAGATTCACAATAAACAATTCGCTAGAAATGTTTGGTTGTTTCCTTGCTTGTTTAACGTCTCTTTCGAGATTTTTTCACTCATATTGAGAAGCCACCACTTGCCGGTAGAGGGCTTCAAATTTAAGACCTATACTCGGCACTTAGGGCCATTGAGCAGTTAGGGATGGATCTTTTTCGTGCCAGCTAATACTGTGGCACGGATCTCGGTTTATACGATCTAATCCTGAGGACCGGTCATCACGTGCCGCAGTGGAAGCGCTAGAAATGTTTTGTTTTGTTTTGTTTTGTTTTTTTTTTTTTGGTTTTTTTTTTTTTGTTTTTTTGCTTAATTTTGTAAATAAAAAAGCATTTATTACTTTTGGCCTGATACTTCCAATTAGTTTTTTCCGAGCTGTTGAAAGTGTAATATGTTGACGTATTTTTCTGAGTAATTTTTTCTACACATATATTACCATTAAATTTCTGTTTATGTTGTGTACTTCAGAAAGATGTGGAAATGCTTGGTGAAAAGTTGCGTCATATGCGTTCAAAAAATATCATGTAGTGCACAAAATTACGCTTATTACGAGACCTCTTAATAGGAAAATTACAACATTACAGTCCATTTGAAATTTAAAGTCGCACATGACGTCTAAAAGAAATTATTAACATTAACTAAGAGTTCCATTGAACATGCTTCTTTTGGAAATAAAGATTTTTACCGATAAAATCGAATAAGACTCTCTCAATATCAAAAGTATTTACAGTATCTCTAACTTAATTTTTGTTTTTTTGGATTATTTTGGATTATTGACGTAGATGTTTTCTGGCTCTTTCTCATTTTTTCAAAGTTTGTTGATATTTCCATGTTGTGTATCCACATTTGTTGTTGAAAAACTAACTAAAGATGGGTTAATTCCTAGAAGACAAATTTCCATGTATAGATATAGTATTTGGATGAAGCAGCGTTTTGTAATTTTCAAACAAAATTAATGTAGGATTTATTATTGTTAAAAAATTTATGATTCATATTATTAATACAAATTTCTGCCTTTTTTTCAAAAAAAAAAAAAAAAAAAATTTAACATCTAATATCAGTAAATTGATATAGAAATTATCAGAACAGTGCAGCTAAGATTTAGAGCAATTCTACTCCAGTCTAAAGTAATGATTGTGAGTTTTCAAAATAAAAAAAACAACACAGAGGTCTTATTTCCTTTCCGTAATCAACATTTCCCACAAGGAAAAAACTCTTACTTTGAGGATAAAAAACTTAAAAGATCTAGCTTAATACATGCATGTATTCTTCTAGATGTATCTTTTATCATCGTCAGATAACCGTAACGACAGAGCTCACGACAATTTTGTAACTTTATAAACCTCATCCGGTTAAGGAAAAATATTCCATTGACAAAGGAACCACTTGGATTGCACTTAAATCCTCCGAAGTACATTCCTCTGGTGTTAACGTGAGTGGGAAGGTATAATGGTGTCCCTCTATTCCAGTTTCCTACTCTTTCTCAAGGTTACTGATTCATTCACTCCTTTATCTTTGTATAATTATCAAAGACAAACATTATTCGATTTTATTTCTCCATTTACAAACGAAGTCAATTGCTTAATAGCCATTCAGATCGATGTTCCAGAAAACTACATTATCTTGACAGTAACGTTTATTCTGTTACGCAATGACTCGGTCCTTTTATTTGCTGGACGTGTAAACCTACAACAATTTTAGTATTATAATTTGTCATGTTTTGAAAATACTTTTGTTAACATTCCGAACATAGTTTTTCATGTCATAAATATGTAATCAAACCCCTTTTAGAAACCTTGTTACACAAATTAAATATGTTATTTTCTTTTAATGTACAGTGAAAACTGTCTAATCCGATACCTGTGTAGTCCGTTTCACTGTAAATTCTAATATTCATTTCCATTGCCATTTTTTCCACATTCTTTACACTGTGTAATCCGACATCCTGTTTATTCCGACATAAAATTTGACTCCAAGTGTAGATCGGATTAGACAGATTTCAATGTATAAACTTTCTGATTTATAAACTCTCGGAATACATTTTGGGGTATAATAGAACTTAAATAAACGTTGACTTAATTGTTGTAGTGGGAGAGTTTGGTTTACTTTGAAACGCAAAACAAAAATGTCCAATCTCTTGTTATCTAGTATGTAAATTCATCTCACTTGCTTCTCTCGAGCTCTTTCTAGACTTTATTCAGGATTTTCTTTGATTGCCATACACAAACACAATGGAATTCCGAACAACCAATACATCTCTGATTGTAAAGGTTCCCTGTGGACCTTATACACAATATAATTATGCACATGAAGTATTGTAGACTTTTCCCCATGTAACTTTTCATAGAGATAAATCCTGTACTCCTTTCTGGGCAATGTAGACTTGGTTTCTTGCTCGCGTTTGTTAATTCTTTTAGTGGAAAGTTTCCGAAGAAAATTACGTAGCTAAAAAATGAAAGTTACTGCCTGTGTTTATTTATTGATCATCAGAGTTTGGATTGATTGATTGATTAATTGTTGTTTAACGTCCCAGTTCCAGAAATTTTCACTCATATAGAGACCTCACTATATACCGGTAAAGGGCTTCAAATTTAGACCTTTACATGTACTCGGCACTCAGGGCCATTGGGCAGTGATGGATCTTTAACGTGGCAGCGCCTGTCGTGACACAGGGCCTCGGTTTATAAGATCTCATCCGAAGGACCCACAACTTTCATTTCAAAGTGCCGAGCGCTTGGCGAAGGAACAGTTGTTACTGTTTTTTAACGATTTAGGTCAGTCGCATCCGGGGTTCGAACCCATGACCTTCCAAACACGGAGCGAACGCTCTACCGACTGAGATCAGATATTGGAAATAACTATTCGAAGACTTGTTATTCATCGACAAGTACAATGCTTAAACGCTCATCATAAGTATCAAAATTTACATTCTAATGAAATGGAGCAATATTCTGTGCTTCAAATTTTGAGAAGTGCATGTATAATGCTAAAATACTCAATTC